AGAAGTCATCATGGAAGACAATCGTTACCTCAAGCAATGAAGAAATCAGTTTAGAATTTAGTTTGTTGCATATACCGGAAGTGACTTGAAATAAAGAAATGTTTTTCATGACAAATAATTCTATAATTAAAATTTAATTTTAAAATTGCGTGCATCAACTTTTTTTTTTCAACCACATTTTTAATTTATTAAGCTGTAACTTATTAACACGTTGACTGCCAAGTCAAGGCAAGTTTAGATAAATATCTCCGTCAGGCCACGCACGCGGTCACACAAAGCTGTACTTTCGAGAGTGAAATCTCATTCTGTAGATATCGCCTTTTCTGCGAATAGCTTGTTGTTTCTTTCGAAGATGATAATAGAAGATGATAATAGTCCTAACGTCATAGGCATGGCTATTCCTTCAGTTGAAAGTCCGCAGTCGAGAAGTAAGCGTTTTCGATACCACTCGAAATCGGGTGACGCGGTAGTTAATATGTTAAGCAATTTGCAGGGATGATTATACATCGCATTGTATCGCACGAATTTAATTAATGATAAGAAATCCACTTTTGATAAGCAAGATAAGCGATAAAATCTTCATAAAATTTCATTTGACCTTCGCAATAAATGTAATAAATACCATTTATGTTTCAGCCGAACGCGCCCTTGATACCATGAATTTCGACATGATAAAAGGGCGGCCTATCCGAATCATGTGGTCTCAGCGCGATCCGTCTCTACGCAAATCTGGCGTTGGAAATGTGTTTATTAAAAATTTAGATAAAAATATTGACAATAAAGCGATGTACGATACGTTTTCCGCGTTCGGAAATATATTGAGCTGCAAAGTTGCGCAAGATGAATCGGGCGCATCGAAAGGTTATGGTTTCGTACACTTCGAAACGGAGGAAGCAGCTAATAAATCTATTGATAAAGTCAACGGAATGTTGCTGAATGGCAAGAAGGTAAGAGTAAAAAAAATGAATTCTTTGTATACCGATTGAAGTAAAAATTGTCGTTAGGTCAGTGTTGAAATGCATGGCTTAGGACCGATTTCTGAAGCGACGCTTGCTATTTCCCGCTGTGAATGCTGTGAGGGACGTCCCCGAAGCCCTGAATTCCCCATACATAATAGGCGGCTCGACCGTCGAGCCTCAAACGGTAATGGGGTATTATTTCAATGGGAGATAGTAGGCGTCTTAGAAATCAGTCCAAGATGCACTTTGTTGCGAGCACTGCTGCATTAGATTATTTAACGAATTAATGTTTCTCCTTCTTGTGAATCGCGTTTAGGTGTACGTTGGCAAGTTTATTCCGCGCAAGGAACGTGAGAAGGAGTTGGGCGAAAAGGCTAAGCTGTTCACAAACGTTTATGTTAAAAATTTCGGAGAGGATATGACGGATGATAAG